CTCTCTCTCTCTCTCAACGCGCAAGGCTCAGACAGCCCTTGATTTCCTCACCGGTCTTTGCACGCTTCCTAGGCATGCCAACAAAGAATTGACTTCTTCGAAGAGTACTCTGTCAACTGGGGAGATGACTTAAAGAGCAAAGGCAGAATGCGCTCCTGAACTTATTCATACTTATTATTCTAACAACCTCTGAGGTTTGTGGTGCAACATCAATGTTTGGTCCTGCGCATCAAGACATTGTGGACCTGAAGCAAAAAAGCAGCTCAGGATCAGGCGGTTTGGTGCAGGGACAGAAATCTGAGGATCAGGCTGCCATGGGCTAATCGGACCAGCTCCTTGCGAATGTCTTGGCACCTTGAGAATGTCATGGCTCAGAAGGGCTGTGAAAATGCAAAGGCACTTCTGGCTCTGACGAGTTTGACAAGGGCGTCGAGTACCTTGGCCGTCCAAAAGCTTCCAAACTTCTCTTCCGTTGAAACGCAGAATGGGCTTAGGCTTACCCTCTACGACACACTCTTTTTGATTTGCAACTCAGAATGTCCACTTGGGTCTGTGGCTTTTCCCAGTCCGTCTGGGTTTTCTGCATGACAGACTTCATTTGAGCCTCGGGCTAAAGTTTTACAAGCTTCTAGAAGTTAAGTCTCCCTAAAAATCTAGGAACCAAATCAATAGTGCGAGCACTTCTTCAAGGAAGCTCCCCCCCTCAGGCGGGGTGAGCTCCCTTGAAAAAGCGCGAGCTATCCTGCGTCCAAATGTAGTAGCGTCTGAGTAGCTAGGAGCGAACAAGTTTGTCGCTTATTGGATTGAGTGGGCAGTCTCTACTTATAATTAAGGAGGAGAGCGGGCTTCAAAAAAGACAAACAAAGCCAGAACTTCTCCAAAGAGCAAAGGTCTGGGACATGTCTTGGAAAGCGCTTTCCACCTGCTCATGTCACCAAATCACCAAAATGTCAGATTTGAAGTTCTGTGCAATGGCCTCCAACCTACTAGCGATGGCCTCCAAGTTCTGTGAGCTTCAAACATTTGTCATGTTCACAATTCAGTCCCATACAGCATCGTTGGCGTGGCTGATGCGATCTTCGAGCCCCGGGTTCTCAGTCAAGATTCTTCTCAAGGCTTAGCAGGCTCCTTTTGTGAATAGCTTCTACTCCGTGTTGGCTTTCATATGCTTAATGAGATCTTGGTTGCAGGCATAAATCTCCACTGGATCGGGCCTCAGCCAATGCTTCGGGTCAAGCTACAGACTGGGGACGGCCTGACCATGAGGCCGACGGGAAGACATAGTTGTACGCGGAGTGAACTGGGCCCATGGAGTTTTCTCACCTCACGCAGTTGCTGCGCGGCTCTATTCAGGTTTCGGCCACAGTTGCGATCTGTCTCGAAGTGCACAGAACACTACAACCAATGGCCTCCAACCTAATAGCGATGGCCTTCAATAACAGCTTAACACTGCCCAAGCAGCACAGCTGGGACTCTTGTTGAGCTAGGAGTGGGAGTCCATCGAGTCCATCAAGTCCATTGAGTCCGTGACTTCAGAAAGTCAAGAGGTTTGATGAATCACTACGATTCATCCTGATTCAGGATAGATGTCATTCGGAAAGACCCTATCATGCCTATCATTGCTTTTGGAACAATCTCAACCGATGATGCACCATCTAGTTGCGTCCAAGACTGTTCTTCGATCTAAACATGGCTGCGGCAGAATAAGAAGAAAGGCTTCAATGGAGTATGTAAAGAAATATAAAACATTGTCCAAACCAAACATCTTCAAATCTCAGTACTCTGCCTGCCAGCAGGTGATTTGCCAAATGAAGGCCCCAGAGTCAAAGCCAGGGAAAATGAGTGCAGCAAAGGGTTCTTCCTGACAACTTCACACTTCACTTCACTTAACAAAAGGACCAATCAACGGTCTCACTATGTTTTTACTTGGTCCAGACTTTGCCGAATCGACAAGAACCCTACCATTAAGCTGCTTGGTTGAGAGCGTGAAGAAAAAATCAAAGGATAGCTCCTCTTGCAACCCAGGAGGCAGCATGGAGGCAGGCATCGGCATCTGGCACATGAGGAGTAGGCAACCGAGGTCAAAGACTTGGAAATTTCGCCAGCAGTGCTGGCGGAACAGCGGCAGCAGTAACGCCCTGAGAGCGATAAGACACGAACGGATTCTCTGCCCGAACGCAACGTTCTGTGACGTTTGTTGAAAGAGTTCCTTTCTACGTCCTCCCTCCAAGTGGAGGCACCAGGCTGCTCCATGGAGAAAGGAGTGCCAGTGGCGCCTGCAGTCTCCCAAATCTGCCTTCCCCCTCTTTGTTTGGCTTGTGAGGGTGCCTGCAAACCAACAAGCAGCGAAGCCTGGCGGAAGCTGTCAACAGGTCATGGACAAGAAGAGCTTGGCAAAAACTTGCGGACATGCCCTACTTGCAACTTCTTCATTTGCACAAATTGTTCACTATTGCTAAAAGTTTACATCAGTCAGATTGGTCTTGGGTTGGCCTCTTTGGCTGCTTGCATCCACCTTGCCCTGGCCGATCCCAATCAAGGTCAATTTGCATGACAATGCTATTGCCAGTAGGTCGCCAAAGGCCTCCAACCTAATAGCAAGTGTGCAGAGGGTCCTTGATCGATCCTTTTCAAGCTGCTCCGTGGGCTCGATCCTGGTTCTCACCAAGAAAGCATACAAACTGGAAAGAAAACTGCTACGGCCGAGCCCATGACTCAGCTGAGTCAACAAGGACCTCAAAGGATCGCAAACGGCCGTTGCTTTGCTTCAAACCTATGGCCTCCAGCATACTAGCGATGGCCTACTAGCGATGGCCTCCAACCTACAAGTTGACAACGCAAAAGAAACAGAACAGGCCTCAGCTGCGTTCAAAATCTTGGTCGCTGCCTTGGAGGCCTCTCGATGCAATGCCTCAGCCACATCCCCTGGAGAATCAAAGCAACACCCCAAAATTGTCAACAAAGCCTTCAATTCTGAAATCTCAATCCCAAAAGTCCTTCAATCCGTGGGGAAGCTCAAAGTGTTGAGAGACGAGACTGATAGTTCTGGAGCCCGGACCTCTTGCAGTCGGCTTTCACTAACCTGGTGTCTTCACAGGAAAAAGACCAAAATCCAACGTTTCAGAACCAATGTACTTGGAACTGTTTCGAAGCCCCTCACAAGGAACAATTCTTTTCCAATGCAGTCGGCATCACGGTAGTCTCTATGATGGAGCATGATTGGTCCGCTCGGTGGCCTGGCAAAATTCTCTCCTTTGCTACTCAATACTTTGTGAGTCAACCTAATAGCATCTAATAGCAATGGCCTCCAACCTACTAGCGATGGCCTCCAACCTAATAGCCTCAATACTTTGTGAGCCTTACATACGTACGCATCGTAGGTAAAAGACATAGCTTTGCTTCGCTGATTTTTCCCGCGCTGAGAAAGCGTTGGCTCACGGCGCTGACATTCAGAGGTTGGACCCTCCAAAGCCAGGTCCTGTGAATTTCCATAGAAGAAAGAGTCGAACGGAAGCACGAAATATATGTTGACACGACTCTGATTCCGTTTGACTCAACTCCTTTGTTTGCGGCAAACAAAGGGTTCCGCCATGGAATTCAGCATGCCTCGCAAAGCTCATCTTGCGAGTCACTCCAAAGGATCCAAACCTACTTGGCTTGGGAAGTTTGTTTGAAGTAACAAAAGGCCTTACCTTATTCCTTATAGTTTCTTATCATGTTCATCTCGCCTTTCGTTTAGGTTTTACTCGCAATAGGCCGATAGGCTCAATCTATCAATGCTGCAGGCCCTTGGCTTAGCCACTAGAGTCACTAGAGTCACTAGTCGCTCGCCTTTTTCCCGAGGCGCACAACGTATCAGGAAGGAGTGGAAGGAGGAGCAGCTGCTCACCATTCGTCGCAGTGCTACAGCACTGTCTTGTTTATCACAAATCGCCTCAAGAAGGAACCAGAAGACTGCCACTTTTGCAAGCATTCGCAAAATATGAGCGATTTGAGAGCACAGGGGTGGCGAAAGGTTGCACGAGGTCATCAGCAGGTTCAACGAATATGACAGCAACATCTACTAGCCATTCTGAGAAATGCTGAGAGAGAAGCAAGGGGAAAGCGATTTTGAGACACGGAGATGCACATGGAAAGAGGTATCGGAAAGAAACTGATAGTCAGAATGTGAGTTTTGTCCAGAGTTCGGTGCGATTTGTTGTGGATCACAGAGGTGGCTAAAAACCGCAAAAGGACTCCTCAATCTACAAACTTTGAATGCTATGCACAGCACACGGCTGAGCAAATGAACTCCAATCCCCAGTTCCCTCTTTATTAAATTCGTAACTTGTTACTAGTAGTAAGGCACTTGTTCCTAGTAGCGTGGCACCTGTTACTACTAGCTTCTTGTTACTAGTAGTAAGGCACTTGTTCCTAG